TTAAGGAATTAGGTGCTATCATTTCTTCATGGAGTCATAAATCAACTGTGTAGGAAACTTATATTGATTATTTTTGGTTGAGGGCATGGCAATCCACATAGAAAGGCCACGTGCCATTTGCCTTTTAGACAGTAAAACTTAGGAGGAGAATGGGGATTGATCGGGCCCAATGGTTTCGTGTTGCATTATCTCCTCTAGATGTTTCTCAATTTCATCTCTCTTGTAAATGTGGATAACTCTAAGGTTTTGCAAAAACAAGGTGGGTGTTTTTGTCACCAAGATGATTCTATGATCATAGGATTGTTGAGGTGGTAAGCCAACCACTGCAGCAAAGATGGGCTCAGAGTTGGTTAACGCCCTCCTCTAGATCTAGCTGGTTCTTCTGCTCAGTGGAAACAGTAGTTAGTTTTGCACTTTTCCTTGATCTAGAATTGGATCAAGTTAAGATGTAATGTTTTTAGCATTAGAATGTCTACATAATTATGTAAATTTTTTTATGTTTTTGTATTATATGGCCTCTTTAGGACACATATAAGCTGTTTAGGAATATACCTAGATTTATGATTTACTTTTGTTATACTTTTTGGTTCTTTTTCTTCAGGATAAGGTGGCATCTTTCAGTGGTAGAATGTAGTATCTTAGTTTCTATTGGTCCTTTAGGTGCTAGGTTTGGGTGATCCAAAGAAGATGGCAACCATAAGTTGCAAATTTGTGCCTTTCTTACAAGTCTAAAGATGGTGGCCAGAAGAGGTGGTAAACTCAAGTTGTCAACTTGTGCCCTCTCTTGATCTAGGATGGTGGCCAAAATAGGTGGCAATCACAACTCGTCAACATATCCCACCTTTCATCAACAAAAGATAGAAATATCAAGTCGCCAACTTGTCTAGTTGCCGAGATTGCTATTGGCTCTTTTCAGAACTCCTTTTTGCCTATATAAACACATTGGATGTAATAAAAACGATACTAGTAATTGGAATAGGATTGAAGCATTTATTTCTCTAGAATCTGGTTTTCTCCCTTTCTTCAACCATTTTTAATCTTTCTTCCTCTTCTCCCTCTCTCTTCTTGCCTAACCTTCTTTTTCTCTTTTCTCCTCTTAATGTCTTTTCATTCTACCTTAAACTTTACTTAGAAAATGCCACCAGTTGCTTATTTTCAGACGACTATAAAATTGTGAAAGTATGTCTTACATTATTCCTGCTCGCATATTGATGAATCCCTTTTTGGTGTATGATGTCTTCTTTCTGATGGATGGCTGTATTTGTGGCTACAAAATCCCATAAAATTAGCCCCACTGTGCAAGGCAATTGACTCCCAACACCACTCTTAAGCCACTGAGAGGTTAACCGAAGAAATCTACAAGAAAATGATTATTATCCAAAATAACCCAGATACTCTAGCAGACACTTGGGTTTCGTACTTGCTTGTCAGTGGCCAACATGGCTCATAGAGTATCATGCAGTTCCATGAGAAGGGATAGCTGGTTAACCACAGTCTTGCAAATGAAAATAGTGATTGCTCCACGAGTATCTTAAGATATGGGGTGGTTGTGCAACAACTTGGGGATTGATTTTCATAGTCTAGATAGCAATAGCTCCTGAGATGGCGTGTACTGAAATCTCAGGTTCATCCTCTCCGATGCTCTCAGTTGTTGACTTCCTTTAACTTGGGTTCCCTGCACACTCCAGCAAAAAAATTCTTTTACACATGTATATAAAACAAAGGCTTCGTCACAGTTAGAGCAAAGCCCTTTATTCTGTCTGTACTCCATCTGTTCTCGATTGGGTTTCTTTTTAAAGGTTGGTTTTTCTGGCACTAGCAGTAGTGCGCCTTGTGGCTTGATCTCTTGCCCCGTCTTCTCCTTACTTCTTTCACCGGAGACAAGCAAAGGCTCATTCCTTATCACATTTGGTGGCTGCTACAATTCCACCTTGACTGCTATACAATCTTGCAACCAACTAAGAAATATTTTTATACCTTAGTTTGGTGTGAGCATAGATTTACGGGTTGACAATGGTTTGAAGCGCCTTTGATATTCGGCCACCGTCTGAGATGGTGCGACTCATAGTTGTGCAATTTTATCACTTCCCCAGCTTGTTGTTATGGATTGAGATTCCGAACTTACGTTGTAGTAGGACTTATTAACTTGCCCACGTCAAGTCTAGCTGGTCATTTTCCAATATTAGGAACCACAACTGTGCATTGTCTTGAATGTGTATTTTTACACTAAACCAACTTTTGTCTTCCTCACTGCTCTGTTGATGCTGGGAAAAAGTGTTTGCAACTGCTCAACCAACCTAGTGAATCCATTTCCCCGTTGAAATGAAAGTCGAGTTTGACAGACTAAGCTTGAACTCGTCCCATGATCAGCAGCTTGTCTTCATCGTGTTTGTAGCTTCTTCTTTGGCAGCAGATAGCACGTTGCTAAGAGTTTTTAATTTCAGAAGTTAGTCCTCCGTGGTCCTCTTTGTAATGTTTGTAGAAGAGTTCACATTGTTGTTGGAAGGCTTGAACGCGTCCCATGATCAGCGGTTTTGATGCTGGTTTTTCACAGTTTTGGAGTTGGGATCTTGTCAAAGGGACCTGACATGGAGGTGTCTCAAAGCAAGCTAGCGCTTTCTTTCTTGATTTTCTGGCCTTGTTGCCCTATGTTGAGGCTCAATAAAGAGAACCTCTTTATCTTTAGAGGTAAAATCCAGTATTTAGGTTATGATTGCTGATGAGCTTGATTAATGCTGGTAAACATATTTATAGGAAAAGTAGGAAATTAGATCCCTTTGAGACTACCCAGAGTTGCAGATCCTGAACACTTTAAATCTAACTACTATAGTAGGCATAAATATAAATGCAAATAAACAAGTCTCCTTCTAACTACTATAATGGCATAAATATAAATGCAAATAGAAAAGTCTCCTAATCCAAAGTCTAAACTGGTTTCTGTAGAAACTTTTGTTCTTAGTTAATCAAATCATTGGTCCGAAGCAGGATCATCCTTCCTTCCCTTGCCATGGGTCCTTGCACCTAACCGGTAAACTGATCTTTCATCATAGATGTTTACTCTGTTCGTCATGTGTTTACAGAGAAAAGGAAATCTTGCCTTTTCTAATGTTTGCACAGAGAAATTTTTTCCTAGAGTTGATTGAGAATCAACAATTTTCAACTGGTTTTCTATTTTGAATTCTTATTAAATTCATTTCTCCTTGTGTAAAAGAGCAGACTTCAAAAATTTTTGACATAGTAAAAAAAGGAGCATAATCATTGAGTTGTTTGATAATTTATGAAGTCTAGGTGTGGAAGGTCCTTATTAATTTTCCTTTAAATTCTATGCAGGAAGTACATGAGCCAGCTGATAACAGGTTATCTACCAAGTGTAATTTTGATGTTATTTCTGTATGCCGTTCCACCAACAATGATGTTATTCTCAGTACTAGAAGGGCCAATTTCACGTGGTGGAAGGAAAAAGAGTGCATGTGTAAAAGTTCTATACTTCACAATCTGGAATGTCTTCTTTGTTAATATTCTATCAGGATCTGTAATCAGGCAATTGAGTGTCTTCTCAAGTGTGAAAGACCTACCAACTCAACTTGCCAAAGCAGTACCAACTCAGGTAATTTCTCCGTTATTCCTATCTAGGTATTTGACAGAAGCCAAAGCTAATTGCTGCTTTTATTTTGTGGGTTACAGATTGTATTTTTCTAAGAGATAAAAAAGATATTTTTCCCAATTGTTTTATATCACTCAAATTAATTTCTTTGATATGTGATTGACAATTTCCAAAAGATGACCAAGTGTCTTATTAAGTGAACATTGTGATGAGAGGAGGACTAGCGTAGATCTATTTGGCAGGGCCTTCCACATGGCCGGTCCTGGGTGTGGATGAAAATGCTATCAGATTTACTTGTACCAACAGGGACAGTGAACGTTAGCTGGCTTGTCTGATTTCTTTTTTACTTATTGGTTTTTCAGTTCTCAAGGCCCCTAAAACTGTTCTGTAATTATTAAGCTAACTGATAGATTCTGAATATTGTTTTGGTTTTGTATATTTGCAGGCTAGCTTCTTCATGACTTATGTTTTTACCTCAGGTTGGGCAGGTTTAGCATGTGAAATGGTGCAACCTTTTGCTCTTATCTGCAATGTGCTGAAAAGGTTCATATTCAAAATAGATGAGGATTCACCTGACAGCACTTTCTCTTTTCCCTATCATACTGAAATCCCACGGATCCTTCTTTTTGGAATTCTTGGCTTCACCAATTCAATCATGGCACCCTTAATATTGCCCTTCTTGCTCATTTACTTCTTCCTGGCTTACCTTGTATATCGAAATCAGGTACTTAGCTGTAGCCTTCTTTTACTCTCTAATAGTACATTTTTTCTATGATGTTATATTGGATGCACCAGTAAACCATGTTAATAGACTCCTTTTAGCATTTTATTCATCAAGTATAGTTCATTCATGCTGCATGGATGGTAGAATATAATGCTATTTTTCATTTTAACAGCTCCTGTAATTTTGAGTCAATGCCTTAAAAATAAATTAGGAATGATTTAATTCTGAAACATCTATATCCTTCTATTGATATTTTATTGAGGAAACAAAAGCTAAAGCATTGTTCCAATAGATGGAGGTTCTGCTAGAGTACTACTGTAGATAATTTTACCATATATCTTCAAATTTGAGTAACTCAAGCCATCTTAGAAAAGATTGAAATTTAGGAATTTGATTATGCATATATACCTCAAAGCCTTAAGCAGTGGAAGCCTTGAGAGACTTATTGAAAAGAGTTTGTGGAAGATGATTCAAGAATGTTTGTTGAATAACAAAGCTGATACATCTCCCCACATAGAGATCATTCAGATGAGGCTTCATGGCCTCTCTATCCAGTTTCCACAAGGGCTGGTGATGTAGAATTCGGGATCAACAACGCAATCTAAAATCTTACATATACATCAGTAACCAGAAAGTCAGAACTTCAAGTAAACTCTCCCTACTTGACCCGCACTTAACAAGGGAGTGAAAACCAATGTGATAGGGAAAAAAAAAACAAAGAAGTAGAATTGAAAAGAAGCCACAAGACTTATCTCGATAAGTGATTCCAATTCCTAACACAACAAATCGGTCGAAAACCCATCACTCACTCTTGAAAGTTTAAAACAAAAATACTTGAATTTTATTGTTGTAAAATTTTTGAATCCTCCTACAACTTTGAAGTGAAAGCCTATTTATAGTGCAGAACATGTAAATAATAAGAAAAACAATCTCCTAAGTTAATGACAAAATTATATAGAAAAATAAATGTAGAATAGAATAAGAAAATTAACAAAATTAAGAATATTGCTTTCTAAAATAGAATAGATATGATTTTCCTTTTTAAATAGAAGAGGTCTTAATTAATAGGGCTGATTTAGGAAGAATAAAATTGGAAAATTATGGCTGGCCATTAAAAAAGCAAGATGACTGCCCATTTATGTCCTAAACACATGTGATTTGGCTCTTAAATAATTTTTCCTCTTTTGTTCAAGCAATTTGCGGTCTTAGGAGCATCTTCCCCTTTTGACCGATTCTCCTCACTTAAGGGAAATTCCTTTCCTTTTTCTTGCTTGTTTACCTCTTGTACTTGAAGTGAATTGTATATACCATTATATCCTTAAGTTAATGGCTTTGTTGTCTTCTTTTCTTGGATTTCTTTAGTGAGTTCAAGCTTATCTTCTTTATTGATCCATGCTTGGACAAAGAGGTGAAAGGGTTGTTGTAATCTTTTAGCTCTCCCTCTTGTAATGAGCCCACTTGGCATTGAAATATCTTTTTCATCATTTTTCTCTTGGCCGCCAACTTGTCCATTCTTTTGGGCTTGATTGCCACTCATCTTCTCTTGGTCGTCCCTTTCATGATTTATGTCTATGCTCACATCATCCCTCACTCTTAAAAAAAATTCGTTCTCGAATCTGGACCTGTATAAAAAAGGGGAAGATTAATTTTGTAGGTATTGTCATTGACACGCTCTAGAACTTGAAAATGTTCGTCTTCTCAGGGGTCCAACTTAGATTTTTGTTTATTGAGAAATCTTTTCTTTCGCATATGAACCCCCATCTAATTGTCAGGTTGGAAAACTACTCGTTTCCTTTCTTTATTGGCGTGTCGTGCATAAGATTCATTTTTCTTCTGGATATGCTGCTTGATCTTTTTATGTATGGGTTTAAAAAATTTTGCTTTCCGCTGACCATCAATGTCCTAAATTTCATGTAAAGATAAAAGCATGAGGTCCAACGGAGTTAAAAGATTAAAATCATAAACAATCTCAAAAGGTGAAAACCCTGTAGAATTGTGAATGCTTCTATTATATGTAAAATTTTACCATAAACAAACAATCATTCCACGTCAAATTTCAGCCAACTACAGCCCTTAACAAGGATCCTAGGGTCTTATTAACAGCTTTAGTCTAATCATCAATCAAAGGGTAAAATGTAGTTGAGAATAATAGCTTAGTTTCTAATTTACCCCACATAACTCTCCAAAAGTGGCTAAGAAATTTACATCTCTATCACGCACGATATTCTTACAAATGTCATGAAGTCTCACAATATCCCTGAAAAGTAAATTTGCGATATTTGTTGCATCATCAGTTTTATGGCATGCAATGAAGCGTGTTATTTTATTAAATTTATTCACTACGACAAATATATTATTACTACTTCTCTGTCCTAGACAATCCTAATATAAAATTTATAGATATATCTATCCAGGGTGCTATAGATACAAGCAAAGTTGTGTATAATTCATGAGGAAAAACCTTAGATTTGACCTGCTTACATGCAAAACACATATTACAAATGCACTTAACATTTTTTCTCATGGTAGGCCAATAAATTTTTTTATATAATATGTTTAAAGTTTTAGCTACCCCAAAATACCCCATCAATCCCCATCACGAGGCTCACGCTTAAGTAATTCCCTAAGTGAACAGTTGGACACACATATCTTACCATCCATAAGAAGAAAACTATCATGCTTATAAAATTTTTGGAATGCAAAATGCTCGCATGCATGATAAACAGTGAAAAAATTATTATCCTTGGTATACATCTTCTTAATATATTCAAATCTAACAATTTAGAGGTAAGTGTAGAAATCAAAGGATAGATGCAAGATAATGCATCAGCAACAGTATTATTCTTACTTTGTTTATACTTGATTACATAGGGGAAATACTCAATGAAATCGATCCACTTACCGTGACGACGGTTGAGTTTACCTTGAGCCCTTAAATGTTTCAGGGATTAATAGTTGGTATGTATCATGTACTCCTTCAACAATAAGTAATGCTACTATACCTCTAATGCTCTCATCAAGGTGTACAACTCCTTATCGTAGGTTGAGTAATTCAATGGTACGCCACTAAGCTTTTCATTGAAATAAGTCACGAAGTGGCATTCCTACATCAGAACTATTCCTATACCTATACCTGAAACATCACATTTAAGCTCAAAATTTTTGTTAAAGTCAAGTACAATTAAAATAGATGAATAACATAATTTATCTTTCAATAAAGTAAAAGCATGTTTTTGTTTTTCAGTCCATACAAACTTTACATTTTTCTTTACCAATTCATTTAATAGTACTGCAATGGAACTGAAATTTCTAACAAACCTGTGGTAGAAGCTCACCAAACCATAGAATTTCTTACCTCACTGGCTGATGTCGGGGTAAACCATTCTTTGATTGCTTTCATCTTATCCTCATCTACCTCAATGCCCTGTGCACTAACTATAAACTTTGAAAATGTCAATTTTTCACCGCAGAAAGTACACTTCTTAGTATTGGCATACAAATGTTATTTTTTGAAGACTTCAATTATCTTATAGTATCTTTGATTTTAAAAGCCATTTGGAAATCCTTTCTAGATTTTACCCTGAAGTCACTATCACAAATCATTTATTGCATTGGATATTTGAATGTATCATGTTTGTTTATATCCATGCCCACCAGAGAGAGAGACTTGATTCTAAAGCTTTAAAATGTATTTGTGAGTCATTCTTCTCTCAAAAGGATTACCAATGCTAGCATCCATCTATATTCAAATTTTATGTGTCACGGATGTTATTTTTGTTGAGAGAAAATCCTTTTTCAATTAACATTATCTTTATGGGGAATCTATGTTGGAAGATAAGTGTGCAGATCTTTCAAATTAGAATTTCCCCAATTACAACCTACACCAACTTTACCACCTGCACTATCAGTAGAAAACTCTCACATTCAACCTATTCAAAAAAACCTTACATGTACTATATTTACTCAGGTTTATTCGAGGAAGAATCTAGATCTTGAGCTGAGGCAGGGTTGGTATTAGAAACAAGTTCTGGATTTGAGATAAGTCTTGAATCTTACCCAACTTGATATTGAATTGACAATTGCAATCCGTAAAGGAACCAGGGAATACACCAAATAGTTATTGTATAAAATTTTATAGTTTGTGTCATTTAACAAGTGGTCACAATCCCATAAGAATTTTCTCATGAGTCTAATACCAAGTTTATTTCTAACATTGTATCTGATGTATTATTTTGTGAAAAATAGAAAAATGTCATAGTTGTTGATATGCATGCACTAAAAACCACTAAGATATAAGATATAGTGTATTTGTCCAAAGAAAAGAAGACTACAAGATGCAAGTGGGTGTTCACCATAAAATATATGACATAGAATAATTGAAAGGTACAAAGTAAGGTTAGTAGTCAAAGATTATACTTAAATTTATAGGATAGACCATCAAAAGGCATTCGCATCAGTTGCAAAAATGAATTATAGTGCTCGTTTTGTTATCTCTAACTGCCTACTTTATAGCAATTTAATATTAAAAATGTATTCTTGCATGGGAAGAGAAGAAAAGATCTGTAGAAATCTCACCAGGATTTGCCAACAAAATAGGTACAAAAAAAATGTATAAATTAAAAAAGACACTTTATGGGCTCAAGCAGTCATATAAAGAATGATTTGGTAGATTTACTGAAGTTATGTTGGCAATGGATGCAACTAGAGTTAGGAAAATCACACCCTGTTTATCAAATACTTAGAATTAGGAGTTACTGCTCTCCTAATATATATTGATGATATTATTGTGATAGAGGATGATGAACAAGAAAACTTTGGGCTCAAGCCCTTCCTGGTCAAGGAGTTTGAAAGCAAGGAATTAAGAGAGTTAAAGTATTTTCTGGGGATCGAAGTAGCTCATTCAAGATCAGAAATCTTTATCTTACAGCAAAAATATATAAATAATTTGTTGAAAAATACAAGTAAACTAACAATTAAACCAGCTAGTACACTTCTTGACCCTAATCGGACAAGTAGAAGGGTGCATAAATAGATAAAGGAATGTACCACGAGGTAATTGGGAATTACCTATTACACATAAGACCTGACATTGTCTATACAATGAGTGTGATAAGTCAGTTCATAAACAACCTTAAAGAGGTGTATGCACAGGCAGCCTATAGAGTATTACACTACCTAAAGGGAGCACCACAAAAATGCATAATGTTTGAAAGGAATGATAGATTGACCATTGAAACTTATGCATTCTATATAAGCAGACAGAAGATGTACTATAGATTATTGTACCTTTCTTGGGGATAATTTGGTCACTTGAAGGAGTAAAAAGTAGAATGTAGTTGCAAGATTAAGTATAGAGTCAAGATTTCGCGTAATGACAAAAGGAGTATGTGAGTTATTATTAGTTGAAGAGATCCTTGCAAGATCTAAGAGTCAAATGGGATAGTCCAATGCGCCTTTACTGTGATAACATATCAACGATAAGTATTTCTCGTAATTCTATACAACATGGTAGAACAAAACATATTGAAGTTAATAGACGTTTTATTGAGTAGAAGTTAGACAGTAACTTGATATTTACTTCCTGTGTCCATCAAGTTATAATTTGCAGATATGTTGTAAATTGGTATTGATCTTTTGATGTATTTTTTCAGATTCTCAATGTATATGTGACAAAATACGAAAGCTGGGGACGATATTGGCCCGTTTTTCACAATACAACAATATTTTCATTGGTGTTGACACAAATTATAGCTTTGGGGGTATTTGGAATTAAAAAGTCACCAGTTGCTACAGCTTTCACCATCCCATTGATTCTTGGCACACTCCTTTTTAATGAGTATTGCAGGCAGAGGTTTTATCCAATTTTTAAGAAGAATGCTGCTCAGGTAGGCCACTGGATATGATTTTTTCCAAGAGCTTTGGCGTCCAGATGTGTTTCACCGTCCAATTTTTGTGAATTGGGTTTCTTTCAGGCTCTTATAGAGATGGATCGGGAAGATGACCAAACTGGGAGGCTAGAAGAGATATATAAACAGTTGAAATCCGTCTATTGCCAGTTCCCTTTACATTCTCGTATGTTGATTGAAGCTGAAAGCAATAATTGTCCAGATCAGGACATTCCGAATCTAGAGGCACCGGATCCAGGTTTGTTTCATCTGTTGCTTGGGAGATTGTATTTATCTGTGATGAGAGCAAGTAAATTGCTTGGTTGTCTGAGTCTGCTGTTCTGTTTTTCAGGTGAGGAGCACATCCATAAAAGTGAGTTGTTGGCTTTTCAGTTCAGTCCAGAGAGGGATAAACCTAGCCCCAAGTAAACTTCAGCTTGTTCATTGTAAATGATTCATCTGTTGCGAGGGAAAAAGTTTGTTCATTTCACCACCATCATCATTGTCATGGTGTTTACTGGAACAAAGTGCACAGAAGAACAATTCTTGATGACTCGCACAGGTCGGTCCATAGCATACAACAGAAAGTTTGAGTCTTTGTACGACATAGGTTATATCTGTTTTGAATTGTTTATAATGATGCCCATATAACTTATTTGAATGCATATATGGGTGATGAAACAATCTGGAAAGGCTCTTTGATCTGTATAGTTTCTTTTTGAATTCTCCCCGTCAGATTGTCTGGCGGAGCATATTTGAGAAGCATGAGTATATACTTGGTTTCAAAGTATATGGTTAGGCCAGTGCCTTTCAGATTTAGATAGCCATGTCGACTCTATCTTCATGATGCAAAATTATTGCAGAGGGGATCACTTCAGTTATTGTGTTGTGGTTATTCAAAGCAGAGATTATACTATGAAATCGTATGGTGCTTTGCAGTCATTATGCCTCTGTTTTAGTTTCTTATTTTATTTTATATTTATTTAGAAATCTTGCAGTAATTACTTTTAACTATTTGATCATGAAGTAATTACTAAATAAAAATTACTGAATCAATATGAAATGTTAAACAATTATTGCAAGACATGATTAAAACATTAAATAACTTTCCTTGTTTCACACACTACTGAAAACACAAATCTTAAGTAATTCTTAATTTATATATTTAGTAATTGAAAATATTATTATTAGACAGATTATTAATGTTGCCTGCAGTTCCGAAAGCATGGAAAGAAATTTCCATGTTAGTGAGGGTCGTTATCATTACATAATTAATTAATTTAGATTGTACAATAATTAGGGTAGATTAATTAACTAATTATTAATTCTTTTATATGGAAAGTGAAAAAGGTAGGGAAGAGAAGTCGTGGTTTGGTTGTTGTGATGCAGCAGCCAGAGGTTTTAAGTAGTATTTTGAAATAAGTTTTGTTTTTTTGTTAAAGGCTTTTTGTGGTCTGCTTCTTCTTCTAGACGGATATTCCTTTTTTTAACTTTACACAGAATAATTAGCTTCTAACCTTGTCTTTTAGTTGTAACATTATTATTACCAAAGTTTTTTTTGTTACGTTTAAAGTTTTACTCCAAAATCTTAAGTCAATATTTTTTAATAATAATAATTATTTTTTTAAATAACACATTCATAAATTTATATATTTATATATCAGCTAATATTAATTATTATGGTAATAAATGCTAGAAAGTTTTTAGTTAGATTGTTAGAGAGTTTGGTCTAGCTAATTATACGGACCAAGCTTTTGAAAACAAAAATTGGTAGCATAACTCAGAAAGTCAAACCATTTTAACCATAAAGTTACCAAACACCTCACTGCTGTCAACATGTAAGCGTATGATATAAAAATACGTCTGTTCTCTAGAAAAATAAATTAAAGACTTGATTTACATTTATACTGAAATTTTTGAACATGTCTGTTTTCATTTTCAGTTAAAATATAAAAAAATGAATTTTTCATTTTTCTTTATGTATAATGTTTTACTTATGAAAAATTAAGAATACTATAAATGAGAGTAATTTTAAATTGGGCAAAGATAAAAATGTATACTTAAATTACTAATTCTACAATAAAATATTATGTTATATAAACTAGACGCTGTAATAAAAATAAATATCTTTTTGTACTTGGGAAATCTTCCATTACATTATGGTACAATGTTCATTACTGTGGCTATAGGTAGACACGAACCTTATTATTTATTTACACAAATCTTTGATTTGAGCAAGAATGACTGAAGTTGGGGTTCTTGGAAAATCATTACTTTGATTAATTAATATCCATTACCCAGTGTCAATTAATGATACATCTTCTTCACTTAAAACTTATGAAACTATGATTGAATAATCATCCATATTGGCCAAAAAAGAAAAACCTGCTTTGACATTGATATTATTACATACATACACAAACACAAGCATGTATAAAAATGCACGTGTGAGAATTGATAGTTGAAGAAGAATAGTCAAACAATCAAAGAGTACTAAAAGAAACAGGTGAAAAATTTCTCTTTAAAAGCACTCTCTCTCTCTCTCTCTCTCTCTCTCTCTATATATATATATATATATATGTATATAGGAAGTATATTGATGACCAATGCTCAGCATTAATGGATACGAAAAACAAGCAGGTGGATATATAAATTTGGAGAATCACCTACTTAATTAAGTTAAATTCATGTTCGTTAGGTATCTTTGACTCTGTGTGTGTGTGTGTGTGTATATATATATATGTATATATCAAAGCTATAGCTATATAGAGTTGGTACTAAATACATCATATTGATATGTAATACCTTAGATTATTAAGCTACATAAGGCTTGAAAATACCTCTAAGATCAATTCAATCTTAAAAAGCTAATGAGAATGAAAATTCCAATCACACATCTTAAGTACAAAAGAGAAAAAACTTCAGCTAGTAACCTTTTCCAATGAAATCCCATATATATTATGGGATCCTGCCATCTCAAAGATACTATTGAAGTGTGATATATATATTATATATGGAGAGAGAGAGAGAGAGAGAGAGAGAGAGAGAGAGAGAGAGAGAGAGTGAATGTCTACTAGCTAAATAATTCCCAAATCAGCTTTACAAAATAAAGGATTCAATCCAAATACACAGTACACGAAAGGCAATTCAATTCATGTGATCATAATTATAATCCAAGTATACATAAAAGTTCATCATCCATGACAAAAGAATTTGAAAAAAAAAAAAAGAAAAACAACCCATGTGATGAGATAAATTTATTAGGGTTTTAATTATAAACATCCCACAACTATCAATTAATCAATTATATATAGTACTCCTAAACATAGAGTATATATCTACTCATTTACAGTACTATATATACACTATAGCGGTTCTGGGTACCTGAAGCACTCACTGAAAGCAAAACCTCCTTGCTGTAACATTCCTTCATAGCTTGATGAAGAGGAAGAAGTTGTACTGAAAAGAGAGCTCATCTCTCCCCACCCATAATTACTTTCATCTTCCTTTAACATTAATCTTTCATTTACCAGACCATCTGCCTGTAAAAGTTCCATCTCATCTACTCGAATGATAGTGTTACTGATGAACTGATCAGTTTCTCCATGATTAAATGTCCGCACTGAACCAATACTAGTGGTTACACCTTTGTACTCTCGTTGCAAGATTTCAGAACCAGCAGACCCATCATGAGGATCAGTGCTGTACTGGTTGTGTCCAAGTTCAGGAGCAGTTCCATTAATGGAAGCTGATGAAGAAGAAGACGTCATGTTACTCATGGAGTAGTGGTCGTAGAATTTTTGGGTAGATGTAGTAGTAGATAAATCATGAAGTGGGTAATGATCAAGATTTGTGATATCCGCAAAATCATGATGATCGTGATCAGAGAAACTTTCTCCAAGCTTCGCAAGAAATTTTCTGATTGATGATGTTTCATGGTCGTCGCTGAAATATTTGGGTTCTTCATTAATAGGGTAGGGTGCTCTTAGCAAAGACAGTTCTGGCCAGTAGGGATTAATCTGTTGGGTTGTAGTCTCTTTCTTGATCAGATCTTGGTTTATGGAGGGGCCGGCGCCGGCGGTGCTCCGACGAGCTGCAGATTGCAGGCGGTGCTTACCAAGAAGCTTCTTTTTCAGTCTTGTGTTCCAATAGTTCTTTATATCGTTATCAGTTCTTCCTGGTAAATGTGCTGCAATAATGGACCACCTGTCCTTGTAAACACAACATCATTATTTGTAAGTGTCTGTCTTTAATACTGATAGAAAGCTGAATATATATGTGTGTGTGTGTGTGTGTATACCTGCTCCCAATACTGATATAAAGGCTGCAAATAATGTTGTCTTCTTCCTCAGAAAATCCTCCATGTTTGATATCTGGGCGGAGATAGTTTAACCATCTGAGACGGCAGCTCTTTCCACATCTCTTAAGCCCTATCATTGAGAATGAACAAAGAAATTAAAAAAGAGGATGAGTTTATAATTTCATGATGATGATGATGATATATGTATATGTATTTACAAGTACCTATCTTTTGTGGGAGAGCAATCCAGTTACCAGCAGTACCATGCTGGTGAATATAAGACTTGAGCTTGGCATCTTCCTCAGGAGACCATGGGCCTTTCTTCACGTTGGCTTTGTCACAGCAAGGAGCTCTTCCCATGTTGATTGATTCTCTCTGATGATCTATCCTTTTCTTCTTCTTCAATCAAAATAAATATGAGAGAGAAAGAGAGAGTTGCAAAAGCTGAAGAAAAAGGATATGGTATTTAAAAGGGTATGGCAAAAAGAAGAGAGACTTTTACTTTTTTCTAATAATAATTATAATAATAATGATAACAATAATATTATTAAATAATAATTTATGGAAAGAAAATGGGAAATGACAGAAGAGGAGAATAGTTTCTACTTGTCTTTCTTATTACTAAAGAATCAATTTGTTTTATATATAAGAGGGTGTGGAACAGTAAGCCCTTTGCTATATTTATAGATAAATACATATATTTATTCACCTTCACGTGATTTCATTAAGATGTTTATGTTGTCTGTGTACATATACATAGGCAAACTGTGTAAATTACTGTCTAAATTTTTATTAACTTTGTCCTTTTACTTTAAAATTTTTCTTATTTTTTATATTCAATTAACTATGTTAATAAATATTAAGATTGATGTCATAAATTAAATTTAACGACACGTGACATCTTCTAATTCATAACAATTTAAGTAGATGTTACATTAAATATTACATAATATTTAAAGTGACACAAAAATAATTTAATATGAATCAGTTCGAATAAGTTTACATATTTAAAAAAAAAAGGAGAAAATTCTTAAAAATAAAAGGTTTAAACAAATGAATAAAAGACTATGATTACTTGCTCTGCAAACATCATAGATCTAACTCTTGATTGTAATAAGGAGAGACTTCTTGGGATTGAAGCCATCGACCATTGTATTGTATGAGCTTATCCTCTGTTATTTCATCAAATTGAATAAGAAATAAAAGTGATTGCATATACTTATAGAAAGAATTGACTTTTTACTGAGACGACTATTATGAAAACAACTAAAGCCAGAGTTAGAATTATAAAAACCTTTGCATGAGATACACCTGTATAGGCTATGATTGCTTCCTTCAAAATTTTCGGTAATTGCAAAGCCATGGTTCAAAACTTTAATACGAGAGATATTTGACCTAAAAAAGAAAAAAATTGTCACGTGCTAATATGCTTTTCCTTCTTGTTGTTTTTTTTTAGTATGTTGATTGGTTTAAACCGATCCATAACTAATTTCTTTACGCATTACTTGTATTTTGTACTTCAGCAAGAAGTATTTACTTGCATACATCATATCAAATTGAGATAAAATATTCAAATAATTTTGAGTATCCCAAAAATATAATCTAAGTTCATCATGTTGAGAGCGCAAATTAAGTATAAATTTATTAGATTTTGTGGAAAACTAATTTTTTAGTAAAGATAAAATAATTAAAATTACTTCAAAACTTAAAAAAAAAAAAAAAGACTAAATTGATTATTCACAGCTTAAACAAATTTAAAAAAAAAAAAATCTAGTAAGTTATATGTACTCTAATCACAAATATATGTGCTTTTTTGTGAGAACATATTTAGTATGTTGAATAAAAAATAGTATGTTTTATCAATTAAATGTTGTAAATGCATGAATCATAATATAAACTCTTAATAAAGGTATACAAAGATACAACCTTCAAACATGCAACCTTTTATAGAGAAGCATACATTCAAAAAATAGTGAGAGTATTAATTTACCATAATTATATATTGACAATGAAATATGAAGAAAATTAAAAGATAAGTTTTGGAATTTTTATTACCAAGCATCAAATTGACATCTAATTAAGCATAAACATTTTTGTTGAGATTTAATATAATTTAATAATTATAATTTTATCAATACACCAATAAATTAAAATTTTAAATTTACCCGAATCGAATATTATAAATTAATTAATAAATTCATAAAGATTTTAAACGATACTGTCGTTCTAGAAGCTACAAGAACATGTAAATATATATGTACATATATGTAGACATATACATTGAATCAAACTAGGGAAGGAAGGTGAAGGAGGTGTTTTTTTTTTTTCCCCTTTTGGTAGGTGAAACAAAGACCAACAGAAGTAGTAATACATCCTCCGGTAACATCAATTTATGGTGCATGACAGATTGGCTAATGCTCCCATAATTTAACCAAACCAATTTTTATATTTTGAATTTATTTTTTTTTAAAAAATAATATTAAGACATTAGTTTGTATCAATATTATTCTTCCAGAAATTTTCTCCCAAATTATTATTTTAAAAAATTTAATCTAAAAAAAGTAAAAATAAAATGGAAAGGCTACAATAGAAAATTCAACGAATTGAAGAGAAACAAAGGTTATATAATTTTCTCTTTTAAAGAAAAGACAAGTCAATTTATTTTGGTCATTTCACATTTTTCTCAAACACATTTCCAAGCCTTAATGAATGCACGGGCGTACATATTTGAAAATTCAATCTTTAATTTTTTAATTATATATATATACACACACACACATATATATAGGCGTACAGCTCAGGCCCAACTCCCATCTTCTCTAGGTTTTATTATCTTTTTTCATGTTTGACAATGAAACAAAAAATCTTTTTGTTTGACGAGTCAGAAATTACATTTTTTTTTTTTAAATATGAAAATTTTAGTGGACAGAAAAGAGCACAACAAACATATAGTATTATGTATCTACCTCCACTGCCTATGCATACATGCATGTGATATGAAAGCTTATGTAGAACTTCTCTCCCTACATATCTTCCACTTTATTTCAACTTCATCGCCAGATCTTAAAAAGTCAATAAGAAATGCTCTTTTGAAGATACAGTATATGTGTGTGTGTGTGTGTGTGTGTGTATATATGTATGTGTATATATATATATATATATATATATATATATTTGATATTATAAATTAAATTGTTATCGTTGACAAATTTTTGAAATAAAATTAATACAAATTTTTCTAAAAGACCCAATAAATT